CACTTTCTATATATCAATTCTTAGTACAACCATCAGCTACCGCATTCTCATCTATTTCCTCTTCATAGTATCCTCAAAAGGGATCTTACCCGATTCTAATCCATTAAGCATATTTTATTCCCATGGCTCTTACCACAAATTTCGCATTCCCCTCCTCAGCGAATGGGGTCCATTCTTTCTCATCTCACTCTTCCTCCTCGTTTAAGTCTTCTTGACAAACTAGGACTTTTCCTTTTCTTGCTATGGCCATAGGAAATCCCTTCTTGACTTGGCCTCTCTATGGGTCTCTCAGCCCTTTGGTTGCCCTAGCTAAATCTTGATGATTCTGGCTATTCTCTGTAATGCGGCAAACCTCTACTGCCTTATTAAATACTTCAAGTTTTCGTGGGGCTACCTTCTCTCTTAACTCGAGCTTCAGCCCTCTGATCATCTTTTCTGTAAACCAACACTCATCATTCATGTGCTGGAGATAAGTGCAGTAGTACCTGGACAACTTAATGTACCCTGCCAAATACTCATCAAAAGGTTCATTTGCTGCTTGTTTTATCATGAGGAATTCAACTTCCTTCTGATCCCTCACGAATTGGGGAAAGTATTTCAGGAAAAACTAGTCTTTAAACACTTCCCACGTGATTGGAGTTTCATTAGCTTGGAGGACCAGCTCGGTGTTCCCCCACCATTTGTCTGCTTCCCCTTCCAACTTATATATCACCATCTGAAACTTCCTCTCAGATGGACACTCTAGTATAGCAAAGATCATTTCCAGCCGAGTTATCCAATCTTCGGTTGCACATCAAAGGTCCCCTCAAAAGTAGGAGGATTGTGTTTGCCAAACTTAACAATCAATTGCTGTAGTGTATCAAGCTCTGCAATAGGTTGGGGCCTCACAGGAGCTGTTCCCTGTGGTTGCTGTGGCGGTTGTGGCATAGGTTGGGCTATCCCAGCTATACTTCGTTCGAGTTGCCGTAACTATGCCAATGCGGCTGCTACTATCGTAGCTATAGCAGCATCTCTCTCTTGTTCTTCTTGCCTAGCCTGAGTTGCCTATATCTCAGCCATTGTTCTCTGCTATTCCTCTAGTCTCTCCATAATCCTTTCCATTTGAATGAACCGGGGGTCTTGATGATTCTCCCCTTCCTCTTGACCCTTCTCTTATTCTCACCATTTTGTTGTTTTCGTCTTAACTACAAGAAGAACAAAATTATTAATTTACATAAATGGTACTTTATATTACCTTTCTATTCACATATCCACATATATGGCACAGTTAGCAAAACACTATTCAAGTATTAGTACAACCCGTCACAACCATCTAACATATTATACATTCATCCATATTCATAACGCACTGTCATAAAAGGGAAATGTAATGAGAACAAAGATCTCCAAGTCATCAAGCAGCTGATGGAAGGTACGTGATATGGAGCAGCCACAAATCTTCTGAATCTCATCTAGCCATACTCTGGTTCTTGGTAAAACATCCATCAGTGCTCGGCTCTAAAGAGCATCATCAATATTTGGATCCTCCTTAATTACTTCATTATATAATAGTCTCACATAAAGGAGAAAATCTAAATAGGTAATACCATATTGGTTCTAGGTCCGGTCCATGAACCTTCCTAGCTTCCTTAGCTCTATTAGGATGCTATCATAGTCTTTAAATTCTTTCTTTACCAATAAAGGTCTTTTCTAGAGGGGTATGTTCTTGACCTTGTCCTATTTTGGTCTTACCATCCTAATTGGTATTGCCTTGATTGTATTGGGGCCCGCTTCATCTAGACTAGGTCTAGGCTTCACGATACTGATAGGCACTGCTCTAAAAGCACTGGGGCCTACCTCCTTTGGATGCGGCCTCGATCTGGTAGTATTTTGTGCATCACCCTCCTCAAGCTTTACAATGTCATTTGAGTCTTCCTCAGAGTAGATATCCTCTATTTCACTAAGGAGCTGATAGTATCTTGGTAGTGGAGTCGGGTCATCAGGGTCTGAGTTACGCGGGTGGTACCACTCTGGGTACAACTCCCCTAGCATTCTCTGGTTCACTGTTTCTCCGGAGTCACTGCTACAGCAGGCCGTTTCTTCCTGCACTCAACTTCATATATAATATACCATTCCACCACAAGGTATAATCTCGACTAAAAGCATTCAATCAAACAACCACAATCATTCACCACACTAATCACAATTTACCATAACAATTTATCACATGTTATAACGTAAAAGAATCAAAACAGTGCACTTAAACAAAGCCAGAACCTTTACTCTGATACCAAAAATTGTAACACTTCCTCTATTATCCCATTATACATCAATTAGAATCATTATAATGCAATTCACAGCATTTCTGAGCGAAAATTTAGTTTCAAAATTTCACATTTAATACTATTCGTACATTGTTCATTCGAATTTGAGCCAACTTGGAAAATTCATAACTAATTCTAGAAAAATCAAAATGAGGTGCTTCTAATTTTCACACGAAACTTGATAAGATTTCTATAGGAAAAAAATATACATTGGACTCAATTCCATCTTAAACAACACCAAACAATTTGACAAATTGCACTGTTTATATGGTCAATTTTCAAATTTTCAGGATTTTAGCCCAACTTTGGAAGGACATAACTCTTAGTACAAAACTCCAAATTTGATGGTTTACCACTTAATTTAAAGCCAAAAATGAGATCTATTTTCCTAAAAAATCTCAAGTCTAATTCCATCATTTTCTTCTTATTTTATGTGTCACTATTTTGCACTTAATTTAGGTAATTTTATCCCCTAGTCACTTCTTTCTTGAATTTTATATTCCTTTTTCCTTTTCCATACCCTTTAGGCATTCTACCGCTCAATACTTCAACACTTGGGCATGTTATACCAATATAATTTACAACATATTACCATTCATAATCCATTACAACTTGGCATAAAGTTTAATAATACATCACATGACATTCCAAAATAACATAATAATCATCAAGCTTCTCTATCCCAATACCATCTCCTTGCCTTGATCTATGGATGAGCCACTCCCTGTTGAGACTTAATTTGATATAGGAGGGATGAGATTTTATAGAAATCTCAGTAGCATTTGAATTACAATTATCATGCAAACCAAGTAAGTTATCATGTGACACATTATAGAACTTCAAGACATCCTCAAGTCACATAAAATCATACTTATTCTCATACTAGGAAAGGAACATTAACATTTCCATATTAACACCAATCAATGCATTTGGCCAAAGCATAGATAGAGATCATTCAACCAACCAATATCACAACACAAGTCTCTTGATCCAAGCAAACAACATGTGATATTAAACAAGCAAGATAAATAATCAAATTATAATTCAAAGCTATCTTTTATCACTTGTCCAATTCGGTTACCTCAAGAAACAATGATCTTCCTTGATTCCTCCCCGCAAAGCCTATTAAATCAAGTATAAATATAGGCTATATTAATAAGCAAACAACTTAAACATAATCTTTAAACTTCAACTTGACATTTCCCCCCCCTTTCTTTGATTTTTACTAAAATGATGCCTCCTTTAGAATCAATAACCTCATAACTCATTCCTACACAATTTTTTATGAGGAATTCAAATATGGAATCATATTTTTGAAAATCAAACTTCTTCCCCATGAATTCACCTTGGCCGAATAGGGGGTGTAATCTTCCAAAAATTCTATTTTTGATTCCAATGATTTTAAACACTTTCCAACAACATATCCCTACACAAAAATATGTTTTAAACCCATTGGAATAATCAAATCAAGTCAAAACAATTTGCTTCTGCGTGAACAGTGCTAGGCTGAAATCTTGCTCTTAAACCCTAGGCAGATTTTCTTCCAAAAACCAATCCATACACTACTTAATCTTGCCTATTCCACTTGGTATTTAAGGTTTCTATTCTTCCCTAAACCTTCCATGGATAGACTGAAAATTTGACAGCATTTACACTTAGTTTTTTAACTCAAAACTCAACCAAAACTACCTTAAAACTTAGGGATAGGAAGGTTTAAGCATACCTTAGTGTTTTCTTGATGTAAATTGGATGGTTCCTTGCTTAAAACACTTGAAATTTTTGAACAAATAGGGCTGGAGCTACAGTGACAAAGTCCCCCCTTAATTTTCTAATTTTCCAACATTTATGTATATTTTCTAAAGGGATATATATAGAAAAATCTGATCTGCCTTCCCTCTCTCTATTTGGATGAAATTTGCCACCTCATGGAGGTTATGTGGTAGTCATTAAATGCTAGAAGAAGTCAGATTTGAACAAGTGTCCAATTTTCAGATTTTTCCAAGCATTTATCCATGAATTTCACATTTTATTTAATAAAAATAGAGGGACCTGGAAGCTGCACGAAATTGGGCCCTTATTGGGCTCAATGTGGGCCCCAAAAATGGTTTGGGCTGGTCCAAAAAGCTGGCCTACAAACCAAATCACTATCTCAAACCAATTTGAAACTTTATCGGTTACTATTCATTAATAACATTCCATAATTTTTCTAGACCTTCAAAAATTCATTTCTCTTCATGATAATTCACCTTTTAATATAAGAACATCACCTGAAAATTTTTAGAATTTTTTCCAACTGTAAGTATTTATTTTGAATTTTCTCCGATTAGACCTTTGTGGGTAAATCTGAGAAAAAATAAATTCTCTGAAATTAATTCCTGAGCTTTCAAGGCCTAAAACCAATTTTATAAATTTAAATAAATATTTAGATAAATTATCTATCTTTTTTTCTAATTTATTGAGGTCTTTAACTAATTAAAATAATTATTTTTCTCTGATTTTTTAATATTTTTCTGAAAAACCTCTGTTTACGGGAAATTCCATAATAATTTATTGTCTCCATAATTTCACCTTTCGGGCTTTAACCGAACTTCTAAAACCTCTAATCTATACTTTTTCCATTTTTCGAGAATTTGCTAGAATTTTTCTCCAAATTTTCCATTTTGCCCTTCCTTGACTGATAATTACAAAAATGCCAACATGGACTTTATGGGGGTTTCACATTAAAAGTTGGTTTGTCTCCCCATCTAGTTACTATATTGGCCTCCATCCTAATTTTTTATTCCTTATATCCAAGTGAAATTTCTCATGATGTGACGTACAAGGAATTGTACGGTGATGATTTGAGCACTGAAGGAATCATCTCGCATGATACATTCACAGTTGCGACTACAAGTGGTGGAAATGTTGGTTTTCAAAGATTCGTATTTGGATGTAGTGAACAAACGGAGGGGACTTTTAATCCTTACGCTTCTGGGATTGTTGGATTCGGAAGGGGTCCGGCGTCATTAACCTTACAGATACGTTCTTCCATGGAAGGCAAGTTTGCTTATTGTTTAGCTCCGGACTATGATGATCAGTCCAGTACGATGTTGTTCGGTCAAAGCGCCGTCGTTTCTGGGTCTGATGTAGTTTCTACGCCATTGGTGGTGAAAGTGCCGAGGAGTCTCTACTTTGTTACGTTGGAAGCAATTAGCGTTGGAGACAAGAGGATTGCCCTTACAACAGGTTATTATTCAATTGATCTAAGCCGGCCACTTTTGACATGGATAACATTTTGGTCATTTTCGTGATTAATAATTAAATGAAAGAGTACAATGAACGGAAATTTTGAGTTAATTATTTATAATTACTTCTGAATACTATGGAACAAATTAAAATAATGAAAATCTTGATTTTCTATAAAAATATTGACTCCCAAAAACTTTTTTAGTTCGTCTATGATCCTAAACAATTTAAACAGTCTTATTTGTGTTATAATATATAATATGAACACTTTGCAATAACGTTTAGGTAAACTATTTTCTTTTACAGAAATAAAAACGACAACAATATATTTAGAGATAATTTTTCCATGTAATTTAAGATTAATTTTTTTAATAAAAACATTCTAAGGCGTTTATTTCATCCATATTCCTTATCTTATATTTGTAATTTAAAATTTTATATATTCTATCATTTATTACTTCATTTTTAAGTAGTGTTTGAGTTCTCTTTATTTTAAGGCATGGAAAGTTACACCTTTTGATCAAGTAGTTTTTCCCATGCAAGTCAATATGGGCAATGTACATCTTGTTTTATTAACAATAAAAAAATTATTCTAACAAACTTACTTAAATGATCAAAATTGTTGATGCTGCGGTCAGAATTCTTGCAAAATGATATAACAAAATGGGAAGATTTTCACATCACCATCTGCACAATCATCAAAACAATCACGTTTATTAGTTACTACTATTATATTTCAATTTCATGTGATGATTTTGACAACACAACAAATTGAACAGTGGAGGAAGGAAATATGCTGCTGGACTCAGGCACAAGAGTGACAATGTGCCAGCAGAGTTTCTGCATTTAATGGAAGAAGAACTAACACCACATCTTGATGGAGAAAATGATCGTGTAGATGTCCCTGATCGAATGGGCTATGCCGTAGAGCACATTGAGGACATTATCATGCCTCGCATCGTTGTTCATTTTAGAGGCGCAGATGTGGAATTAGAAGAAGCGAATGTGTTTGATTTTATTGAAGGTGGCATTGCGTGTGTTAGTTTCAGGCCTATGATAACTCATCCTACCTATGGCGCCATGGCTTAGATGAACTTCTTAGTTGGCTATGACCTCCAAACCAATCTCGTTTCCTTCAACAAAATGGATTGCACCCGCCAGTGGAAGTGACTCATAAATTAATTGCATCTATTTTTAATTTCCTATTCCATGTTTTCCAAATCATAATAAGGCTGGGTTTGGCATGAAGTATTTGGAGAGGAGAGGAGGGAAGAGGAGGAATTTTGATTATTTTCTCCTATCTGGCAACATAAAAATTTTAGGAGGCGAGGAAAAATTTTCTAAAATTTTTCTTCCTCTCCCCTCCTAACTCTCCCCTCCAAAATTGGGAGGATTTGGAGAGAAAGGGCAATATTTTGTTATGTTATGATTATTATGCTCATGTTTATTTTTAATATTCCTATATCATCCTAAACCCTTTTCTTCTTCTCTCATATACAAACGCTATTCCCTTCCTCTCATGAATCAAACAAGGTATATAACATTAAAACTCCTCATCTCCCTTCTTTTTTTTATAAATCTAAACAAGGTAATATTAAAATTCCTCTACTCTCTTTCCTTTCTTTTCCCTCCATTAAAATCTCTCCTCTCTCTTTTTTCCCATTGAACCAAACAGACCCTAAGGATGTGGGAAAAAGAAATCCATGTTAAAAATAACTTGAGTGTTCAAAGGCATAAATTAATTGTTTTAATTAAGGCTGATTTGAGAACGGATGGTAATTTTTGTAGAAACCAATATGACAGTCCTTATATGATGGTCCTTATAATTTTAAGGAAAAACTAATATTATAGTCCTTATAAACTTTTTCGTCTTTCATACGATCCTTATGGTATTTGTAGCTAGTATTATAACACCGTGTGTTCAGTATAAGATTGGGGCACTAAATGCATTTAGGGTGCAATTTAAAGCAAACACATAGATGCAGAGAGAAACAACGTAGAGAACAAATGAAAATACAGTGCAAGAGGCCAAACCAGCGGAATATATTATTGGAGATGATAAGTATGTGATGGGCAAGGACCAGATCCATTTGCAACTTTTAATGATAATAACAATACTAAACTAATTAGTGTAGGTATTGCCTATTTTATGTACGACCTTCAATAAATTTCTAAATAACAAAGTAATAGATACAGAGGCAAAGGGGGGGGGGGGAAATAGGAAGAAGGAATGAAGGAAGAGGTCGCATGTACCAATGAAAAGTAAAGTAAAAATATTAATCCATGCTACTTTTGCACATTTACCTCAACATGCGCATCTATCACTTGGGCTAACCTCAACATATATATGTGCGGGTGTGTGCGTGTGTGTGTGTATATTTATATATGGCTAATCCGTTCACATTATTCTAAACACATATTAAAGCTAATAAAGAAAATCTAATTAGCCAATCGCACTTTATACATTCATTAATTATTTAATTTCTTGCAGAAAATAAGAAAACATTAATTTTGTAGGATAGAATTTAGGGAACATAACATAACACACTCACAATACCAGTGCTCCATACATAAAAATTCATAAGTACGTACGTACGTAATTGGTCATTTAAGCTAGCGAACAAGCTAATTAAGGCCAACCTGATATATATTGGCATATGATATAGTTCTTTGGTTTCAATTATTGATGCCAATTTCCGGATTTATTCTTCATATGATCACCTGCGTCAGCAGAAAGGAGCAGCACAAAATTAAAGAAACAAAATGAGGGAGATAATTTTTGTCATCAATATTAGTTTTATGATTAATAAATATCAATACCATCACTTACATATATAATAATATTTTAGAAATTGCACTATTCACCAATAATAAACAATGCAACACAATGTCAAGGTTCATGCATCTCCATCGAGTCCTACATAATTAGAATCAATCAAGGAAGGGTTGAAATATAGATGATATATATGCTTCTCTGCTCCTAAACGTGGGAGGGAGTTAGAAGTTTGTTTAGATACTAATTAAATTGTAAGATCTTAATCTATTTTATCTATCATAATTATCATATTTCCTAAACTAATTTATTTAACCTGAAGTATTTTAGGAAAATTATATTACATTTGTTCGAGATATAAAATAATTTATTTAGCTTCTTTAATATGCCTAAATTAGTTAAAATAGAGACTTACCCAAGGTGAAGCATCTTCTTGTCAGAGTGAGGGTAAGGAGTGGCAGAAAGTTCCATGATGTTTGTGGGATTGAAGAAATTGCGAGAAGCCAAAGCTTGCTGCATCGCACTCATCTGCTCCTCTCCTGACACCATGTTCGCTTGCTGCTCCAACCTCTCCATTTCAGCGATCTGCTTTTTTTTTTTTAAAATTATATTAATTAATCATTCATCATTTAATTAGTTAGTTAATTAATAACATAGAAAAATTACACTTCAATTATTTGATCCTAATTAATATATAGTAGTGTCAACATACTATACGTACCTTAGTCCGAAGGCAGAGATTTTCATTTTCCAGCTCAATCTCCTAATTAATTCAGTCGTTATTGTCATTATATATGACAACAAATACCGTAAATAATCAAAAACTAATTAATCCCATCAATCAATTTAAAAAAAGACAAGATAAATAATTTTAATCAAAAGGCACAGGAATTTCCGATGTTACCCTTTTTTGGCGGTACTCGATTTCTGCCAAGAGCATCTCATGCTGTTGAAGTACATATATTTAACACAACAATTAGAATTAAATTCATTCGTGGAACTAATTGAAAGCATGAACCAATAAAAACAGTCAGAAGTTGGTTGCTTGCTTCATTTAATCGTTACTTTTTGAGAGTATAATTCACCTGAATAAAAACTCGGTAAAATCTTTGAAAAATATATTTGATATTGAACCAAGAAGTAACAATTTTATCTTTGAAAAAACTTAAATAAATTTAAAGGTTGAAGTATAATTTTATCTCAAAAGTTTTTGCGCAAGAGCTATGTTTATCTGAAAGTTTTTTCTTATGATCAATATCATTCCGAAAGTGTTTAAAAAAAAGAGCAAATTTCTTCTAATCACTAAAAAACCAATTGACTGTTAATATTTTAAATGATCGAAGGTGATATTGCTCCTTCTTTAATAGTTTTGCAGTGATGCCGATCTAAAAACAAGAAGCTTGCAGATATTCACAGCTCTCATGTGAAAACTTTTAGAACAAAACTGAACTTTAACCTTAAATTTAAATCAACGTTTCTTTGGGTTACGTGAATTAAAAAAAAAAACAGACAATTTTATGTATTGTGATCAGAAGTAGTTAGAAGGAGGAATACATGAAAATATAAAACGATATGTCGTTTCAGAAATCATACGAAATAGTCATTGTTAAACAACGCATGGCATACGTACGTTAATTGAATAAATTCATTGTTTTAATTAATGATATGATGAATAATTGAGATATATATATATATACCTTCTTGGATCTGATTCGAGAGATTCCTCTTTCGAGTCTATTTTCCAGCTGCTTCAGTTCCTTCACAGTCAGTGTGCTCAACGCATCACCCATCAAGTGCCTATACCACCAACAACAAATCATTGACTTAAAAAAGTTAATTAATTACTTCCTCTGATACTAAATGTAAGAGTTGATTAATTAATTTGCAGATATTAAAAAAATTAGTTAAGTTAGTGATTTGTAAATAATATTATGTCTTAATTACTACAAAATATCTCTTTTAATCATTTGCATTAATACTATTTTGTTTACCAAAAACCTCTTGATATATATATGCAACCAAAAAGAGTTTAGGGAACAAAATTATAGATTCGAAAAACATAATAGATGCAAAGTATTACATTTTGAACTAAAACATACACAGACTCCTATGCTAGCTCTTATATTTAGGATTTGAAGGAGTAATAATTTACTCCACTCCAAGGTATGTGTGTGTGTTGCTCTAGTTCAGTTTAAACTTAATTCATATATATTATTCCAGAAATTTTAGGAACATTTTCCATCAAACCTGAACACTCTACAGTCATTTTATGATCTAATTGAGTTCATCTCGCAAATTGACAATATAGGGACTGATGAAAGAAGCACTGACAATAAATATGTCAACATAAAATAAATTATATATGTTCAATCGCAAGACCTATTTTTGATGACAAATATACAAAAATCATCATAAATATGTAAACAAGTTCATGCATTTTCTTTTATCATGGTCATATATATGATTTTCAACTCTTGAAATTTAAAGACAATTGACATTATTACCTGTTTGAATTTTGAAGCATCTGAATTTGCTGACGCAGCTTCGCCGATTCTTGCTGATAATACTGCCATTCAAAGCACACATCAACGTTAACTTATAGCTTATCTTTGCTATAACTTCCAAGATAATAATAAAAAATTTAAAAATTGAAATTTTAAATTTATTTTGAGTAATACACCAAACTAACTTAGTCTCTGAAACTATTATCTGACTTTTTATTTGAATTTAGTTTTAATTAATTAAAGAAAACCATATATTTTTTATTTTAAAATACTGGATAAAAATTGAAAAAATATTATAGTACTACGCATAAATCTAGATTACCTCCAAACTTCCTGTGAAGTGCGAACCACAGAAGCTAATTTAATTTCATGCAAGAATTTTATGTAATTTAATGTGGTGAAGGAGAGGAATTTTTTTACACGATTTTCAGGGTTGACTGATTAAAAACAAGATTAATGAATTGAAATGATCAGATTAATTAATGTGAAATGTATTATTTTTAGGGCCTGAATAAATGATAATGATTCAAACATATTTTTAATGATTTATGTATTCATCATAAGTTGTAAATGCGCGCGCGCGCACACACACAGTTATCTTTATGAGAATAGACGTAACTTACACTTTTTATTATAGAAACAAGATCAAAATAAGGCCTTTTTTAATTAATTTCAGAGACGAATATCATGAAGTGAGACATGTTTTAGAAGACATACATCCTGTAGTTTTACTAATAACTAATAATCGGAATTAAAAAAGAAAAGGTAAATTCACTGCGTAGAAATAACAAGATATATATAACTAACTAATTGAAATAATTTCATGAGGCAATTTACCTGAGCATTAATTTCAGTAATAGAGCTTGCACCTGAATTATCTGAACAAGCCTTTTTGTACCTCTCTATAGTTGACCTTATGCTGTGCATGTAGGCAATAGAAGAGAGACATGTCAAAACAACATAAAAAAAAAAATTACTACGTCCAGTTCTTAATATAAGAGCTAGTTTAACTTTTAATTTGATCCTAAATATAAGACTTCAATCCACTTTGTCTCTCATATTTATTTATTTTTTAAGATAGTCATTGTAACTGTTGCACATGTTAAAAGTTTCATCAAATGTTAAAGCTAATACACTTGATTAGCAAAGATATTTTAGGAAAGACAACACCTATTTATTACAAAAAACTAACTTAATAAATATCCTAAATCTACTGAAATTAATCAACTAGCTCTTATATTAAGGACCGAATGTAGTATAATTAATTCATTTAGATGTCAAAGGGCAGTTTTAACTTCTCTAATACTATGGGTGCAGTTACAAGAAAAGTACTATATAGTGAACTTGAAGAGAAGGCTATATATATATATATGAAAGGGAAAGTGTATAGGGTTTACTTCCCTTTTTTTCCTTTTTTTCCCTCCCTAATGCTCACATTAAATTTTTCTCCCTTTATCTCTCCCTCTCTCAACTTTATTTCGAGAATTCTACAATCAAAATATTCTAGAAGATAAAAATTCACATAAATTCAAATATGTTTTAAGAAGGACCTTCTTCTGTCTCTGATTAAATTTAATTAGTGTGTTGTTGGAATTTAGAACTCCAAACTCAATCAAATTGTGGGTGTGTGCGAATGGATGCCAACCCTTAAGCAAGTACTAACTACTGGAAGCAAAAAATAGTCTTTGCATTTGCACCCATGTTATGTACTGCTTTGGTTTTTAATGTAAGACCTAATTAATTAATTTCAATAGATTAATGATGTTACTTAAATTATTTAATATGATATGTTTTTTTTAGCTAAAACACCCTAATTATATTCCTTAATTCCCTCCTTTCTTCTTTTATTTGATTATTGTTGAGAAAATATTAATAGAGTTAATTTGGAAAAAATTGATAAATATGTAAAATAGGTCTTATATATAGGACCAACATCAACTCTCAAATTAGGTCCTATATTAAGGACCGGAGGAATATTATATATGAAAACTAATTTAAATGATAAATATAAATTATATATTTTCTTGGTAAAGAGCCCAATTATAATTTCAATATAAGACTTGAAAAGCCATAGGTACATGATATTTTAAGCTGACTTTGTGCACAATACATATAATCATAACACACATACGTAAACACATACGTAAAGATATATATAGTGTAATAAGGTTAAAAGTAATTAGAAACCTAGTTAAAGAAGGCAATCTAAAACGTCATTTGAAACGATAACATATTTTATGGAAATGAAAGTGAAACTTATTTTGATGGGGGTGTTCTCGGAAAACATGCATATTCACACACTACAAAATTATTTTCTTCTTGACTACCTACTGTACTGTCGTGTTTCTTGCCTTGACCTGAGACGACTGAAAGTGAAAAGATGTTAAGAGACTTCAAAAGTGTTTCCTTTTTCTCTAAATAATAAGTCAATCAAGTACTACTGATGGGTTTCCCACTCGGAAGCCAGAAATGGAAATTAAGGGACAAGCATGAAGTGTTAATTAAACATGTCAGAATTATTTGAATGTAAAGACGTTGGCGTTCAAATTTACTGACACAACAACTCAGTTTTTGTCTTTCAGCTTAACTTTCCTACCACCTTATTAGTACAAGTAATTTCACTTGTACATGTGTAAATAAAGTTAATTAGACTCTATCAAAGTCATCTACAATTAGGGAAAAAGAATACCTAATTCATTTGCAAACTAATGTTATATATGTACACTTTTCTTCCTGAGATATCACGAACCATAAGTGCTAGAAATTAATTAATATTTGTCAAAATATTGTATAAGTATATATTGTGTAATATTCCACAACTAGATATATTCCCATATACTTCAAAATATTCTAGATGGCAAGCTCTTCATGATACTTGACATTTGAACAGTGTAACTTGTTATATATTTTTCAATATTGCCAGAGTGTATTATCTTCCCAGTGTCGAGTACAAAAAGAATAAACATAAACATAAGTTGAAAAAAGGGACAAATCTAAGTAACCCCCAGACCTAGTCAATGAAATGGAATTGTGAAACATAAAGTCATTGAGCAGCAAGACTCTTAGTTTCGAGATATAAAGTAGTTTTTATGAAGATTTTGTACTCTCTCTGAATCTGAAGGAGTTGAAGTAATAAATTTAACCAATATGATTGGAAGGCCTACAGAACTACCACGTTTCACCTTTTTCATGCAAAGTTTTTATGTGAGGAAAAAGTAAAAGCTTTTAAAGTGACTAGCTCACTGAAATTACAACAGAGAAGTCTTCATTGCCTGTCCCTTGAAGATGAACAAAAGGGTGTGAACTGAGAGACTTGGAAAGCTAAAAGTGGAAGAAAAGACAAAAGGATCAAAAAATATATATAGTAGTGTCAATGTGGTTTCTTTCTGGTTACAAGATCAGAATTCTAGTTTCCACAATAGTGAAGTGAAGGCCAAAGCTAGATGATGCCGGGGGTTGGGTTAAGACTTTGAGTTTAAATCTTGTCAATTAAGAAAAAAATTATATTAGAAAAATGCACTTGTTTATGTTTTGCTTGTTTTTGTTCATTCATTACATTGGGAAGAGCTTTTAATTTTAATATGGTTTGGTAATTAAGGATTATTGATGTTTATTTATTTGATGCTACCGGAAGGAGTGATTTTACGATTGTAAATTGATTAAACCAATTAGTTTTCTCGTCTTTCTATATTTAATATATGATTTAGTTCAAAGCTCAATCGTATTTTTCTTAAAAATATGCACTTAAATCGAAGAAATTTTTTATATAAATTAATTTTCTTAAATGTTTTTATAATCTACATATCCTATTATATCCCAGAAATTCTCTGATACATGCACAGGAATAATCATATTGCAGAAGTCTGAAACTCATCTAGAAAATGAAAATTCAGATTTGATAAAGAACCTAAGAACTTATTTTCTCTATATATATTTTTCTATATATAGGTCCTAAGCAAAATATATAAGTTGGCATTATAACATATATGGCGTGTTAATAATTTGAAGCTCACATATAAACAATAACTATGGAAGAAATTAGGTGAAAATAAACGAACGAACAATAATCTTCAGTTATTAAGAATACAAACAACAATACTAACTAGATTAGAGTGTCACAATTCATCAGCAAGATTATCCCTAGTTAGAACGTACACAGACACCCCAGACGCACATAAATGGAAAGAAGTGCTCTTTCCATCTGTATCAAGAAAAGAAAGAAAGAAATACAGCAATTCGACTCAGACTAAACGATATTCCGACCCAAAATTCACCTCACTAGTAGAACCAATTCAACTCAATAAGAAAAAGGGAGAAGGAAATAAAGTAGGCAGTTTTATAATGAGGAAATTAAAAAAAAAAAAAATGGTTGATTCATATGTAGATCTTGAAGCACAGAAAAATGAATGAAGTTAAAGGCGTGACTAACATGAAGCGATGCAACAGGAAATAATGAAACACACACACACACACATACATATATATAGAGAGAGAGATAAAAGGATTACTTGTTGTTAGAATACTCGTAAAGGCGGCCACGGCTGGAGAAGACGATTAGGGCAACTTCAGCATCACAGAGCACAGACAGCTCATAAGCCTTCTTCAGAAGCCCATTCCTTCTCTTGCAGAACGTCACTTGCCGATTTGTTGTGTTCTCTATCCTCTTTATTTCTATCTTCCCTCTTCCCATCTCTTTCACATATACCCAACAACTCAAAACTCGTCAGAAATATATAATCTTCACAGAAATATACATGCACGATAAAGTGTATAAGAAGCCCCACTATTCACGGGTTATTATATATATACCAACGTACGGCGGCTCATTCTTTACATTCTGTGTATATTACAAGATCTCAAGATGAATGAAATTTCTATGCACCTAGAAGCTGTGATCTGAATGAATCGATCTGATCATATTCAATGTTGTTACCTTTTCTTATAAGAGGATTTTTTTTTTGGGGGGGGGGGGGAATCTCTAGGAGCTTCTTGCCGAAGAAGGAGACGTTTTAGATGAAAGATCAAAGAAGATCTATGGAAAAACACAAGATCTGAAGATCGTACAGTACAACTTCTCTTTATGATAACAGATTCAGAAGCCTTTATCTTCATCTCTGGCTTTCTCACTCTCTTTGCTCTTAATCCATGGAGAAGCAGCAAGCAAGACCTCTTTAGGGTCAGAAAGAAAGTCTTTTGTGAAATGTTTTTTTTTCCTCTGAATAAAAACCCAAATATAAACCTCTCTTTGTCTTGACATAAAAATATGCAAGACTCTGAGCACAAGAATAATCAGACCAGTTTGTTTCCTCGTATAAATTATCTCAATTTCTCTCTCTCATTTCTCTGTGAAGGAAACGTTTCAAAGGCAGGAAAGAAAAAAAGATACACAAAACATGATGGGCTTTTTTTTCCTTTTCTTCTTCTGGAAAAACACTTGGTTGCTGAGACGATCAGAGGGAAGAACAAGAGAGAAAGTAAGAAATAAAAAAAGAAGATTCTGCAATCTAACATATGTGAGGGAAGGAATTGAATGAACACAGATCTAGGGTAATTAAACGAAAAAGAGTGAGTTATTTCATTCACGAAGGTTTAATAGATCCAAGAAAGAACAAGTAGATGCATAAACATAATTATAATACAGACCTGCGTGATCAGCCCTTCTCTCTTTCCGGCTACTTCAGCTTTCGGAAAGATTACTAATCCCAAAGAGAGCCAACTATAGCATATGATATAGCCTTTGTTCCACTTCCATCTCTCTCCTCTTTATAGCCCCTTTCTTTCTTTGTCTAACAGTGCAAGAGAGAGAATTTGAACTTCTTTTTGGAATTTTTTTATTATATTGTTCTTGAGAGAGAGAGAGAGAGCAAGATAACTAGAAATTTTGGGGTTTGATAGCTAGAAGGCTACGCAAGTTTAACTAATGGTTTCATGTTTAGTTATTGGAGATACAACTTTACTTGCTTAGAAAATTCGTTGAAAGAATTATATCACCTTTCTAATCCTACTTGGCTTAATCCAAATTATTCGGAATTCAATATCATTTATAGATAATGAATAGTTTGATGCCTGAATATAAGGAAAATAGAACCAAAGAAACGGGCACTACGTACATAGACATTTTCATTCTCAATGTAAATTTTCCTTTGAATTAGATTTAAACAAACACCTTAAAAGGCGCCTTGCTACATATGTGATGTGACTAGAGATTGAAACATAAGTTTGGCCTCTCATAATTGGATCTCCTGCCACAATCTCAAAATACTGGTACAAAACCCATCTTATTACAAGAGCTGTCGCATTAAAAAACTAACGATTTTGAATTCTGACAGGTGTCATTTTGACTTTTTTTTCTTTATTTTATCTACAAGCTAATGATAAAAAATCTGTTACAGAAAAACACCCATCGAGAAAAAGAAATTAAGATGGACGCTACTCGAGGGTTTAGTTAGCAATGTGTGGGCCCACCTCATATCTGCCCCTACTATTGAATTAATATGCATTTGAGATGACCAACTACAATTGTGTTAATTAAGAACTTAACATTTCACAAATAACCCATCTTGAATTTGAAGCTTAAGGACGACACACACGCGAACGGGAGAACTTTGATAGATAGAGAGTTGACTCAATTCAAGTATATATGAATTGCATAGTATTGTTATTGAATGCCAAATGATTTGTACTCCAAGAAAATCAAATTATACATTAATATATCGTATTCAAATCTGTTTACTGTAACAATTTTACAATTATGATTTTAGGCTCCATATATCCTTTTGGGGGAGAGAGAGAAGAGGAGAGAGTTTTTGACAAAAAGAAAAAGAAGAGAGAGAGAACGGAGGAGGTGGTGGGAAGGGCATTTTGCCGAAAGGCAGAAAGAGAACGAAGAGGGTTAGATAAATAATGCAGCTTTGCAGGGCAAAATTCGCGCCTAAAGAAGAAAATGTGGTCTTCAATTTTGATTTTATTGCTTTCTCAATTTCCCAATGAATCTAATATCAGGAGCCTAGAGAATCTAGCTTTCATTTTCAACCTCATAAATTGCAGCTAAATGGTCCCCCCGCATATGAAAAAGATCGATTAAACTGATAGATTTCATCAACTCGGTCAGATTCAATGCTTATCCGTGCTCGTTGGTCATGCCAAGATTTTATATTAAATTTAAAGGTAAGAAATTAGGTCAAGTTACATATAGGGAAAATTGCAAAAAAAGACCTTGGAATTGCAAAAACGCAGATAGGGACCCTTGACAACTTCACTTTGGGTTTTGACAACTTCAGGGCATATTATTCTTGTCAAAACCCAAAGTGAAGTTGTCAATGGTCCCTATCTGCGTTTTTACAATTCGAAGGTCTTTTTTTGCAATTTCCCCTTACTTATATCTATTAACTCAAGTTCATGAGTAAATTTATAAGTACACACACATATATATTCTAACAACTAATTATAGTAAAATAACAAGTGTCCATATTTCACATAAATGTGAATTTACCAGTGCATATACACATTGTGTGTGTGACTTATACACATATATATTTTAACAACTAACAACAGTAAGATAACAAGTGTCTATTTGAAAATTTAGAATCCTAATTCATATTAAAAGAGCTTATACAAAAAGTTACGAGTGTCTATGGGTGAATTTACAAGTACATATCTGCATGTTACAACTAAAAATAGCAAAATAATAAGTCTAATTGGAAAACTTGATCCAATTTTTTTTCCTATACACCTCCTGAGTATCCTTCAAAGTACTTTGTTTTCTTCATTTATACAAGAATTTATCTATGTTAAAAGTTTTTTTCCCACTAGTTAAAATACTCTCAATTAATACTAAAAAAATTTTAGATAAAAAGTCATTACTAGTTGAGACATCCTTTTTTTTTTTTAATATAAATAATATACTACCTCCAACGATAAATATAACATACAGTTCGTATCTAGTGCAAATTGTACTGCAAACTATGTTTTATATTTATGACAAAATAACAACTAAGTGTAAGCATATTCACTGGAAAAAAAAAATCAACTTTCAACAGTGTCTTTAGTCGATGCTAAAATTAGAAAATGTTGCTGCTAAAAAATTATTTGCTACTGAAAAAAGTACTTTCAAAGGTGACAAAACTGTCAGGCTCAAAACAAATATTAATTGTGTAGTTACGTCACATCATCATGGCCAACTGGCCACCACCACGTCATTACCTCCTGTGACCGCCACCTCACCATCCAACTGCCACATGTTGCCATGTCACTGCCACCTCACTTACCATGTGTGGACACCTCATTTCGCCACATCACCTACCAATATATTTTCCTCATAAGTGCCTTCCCTAAGATTTGAACCTCCTCTTCCCTATGTAAAGCTTCTTATCATGTGAGGTGGAATGAACCTAAAATCTTTTTATACAAAATTAAATATATATATCAACCATAACATACATATATATTGATATATATGATATATAAAAAATATTTTAATATATATTATATAAAAATATACATATAATATTAACATCTCAATATCAACATATTACATAAGGGTGCACAATGGACAGACCGAACCAAACTAGAGCCCAACCCGAAGTCTGATATAATTTTTAATCAAGCTAGATTTGACAGTCCATGGTTTGGCCTAATCTAGTAATGACCTAAGGTTGGGCTGCATTAGACTTGGTCCATCAGAGTACCTAATTTGGTCAATGTAGATGTGTATTGGCCACATGGTACATCATTATAGCATGTATAGTCATTTAACTTCATTTGATATGGGCCTTGGACATAATAACTATTCATAAAACCTTTAGATGTGTATTGGCTTAAGCCATTTGTAGGCTAATGTGCACTTCATTCTCCTTGTGAGGTAATGGGTTTTTGGAGATGAAGTTCTTTTTTCTCAATGTGTATAACCCATATTAGAACCCAAAGTACACATCATCATTAATACCGCATGCATGCCAAATACACTTAATGTATTTTGATACTTCTTTCTCTCTCTTTTCTTTTCCTTTTTGAAGAAGGGTGAGCAAGTCATCAAATAATTGTAAAAATTTAGCATAGGGTTTGGTGGCATAAGAATTGAGTTTAGATAAAACTCCCATGAGAAAAATTTACAAAGGAAGGGATACTAAATTGAGTTTAGATCATTCTCGATCTGTTACAAGTACCAATGCGTAATGATGCTTTAATAGAATTGGTCTAGTATTAGGATGCCTTGTTGAGATGTTTCACCTTCTCTAATTTTCAAATCACCCCAAATATTAAGGAGTATGAAGAGATTCTCATGATGCCTATTTAGAAGGATAGTTAGGTCTATCATTACCAAGGAGGGATAGCAAAACTATTTGGGGTTTAGACAAATAAGATATGAATTATTTTTCTTGGGTAGGCCATGGGATTCCTAGAATCAATGTGGAAGCTCACTTGACATACTTAGTAGCACAACAAGATTAGGAAAGTTTCTGTAGAATCTTTGCCTTGGTTATTTATGGTATTATCATTTTCCTTTCACCAGTGGGGTTAATCGACCTTGGGGTTATTAGGGTCTTTCAATCAGTGGAGTATCATCGAGCCAATCTGATACTTGCAATCTTAGTGAAGTCGCATATGTTATTATCTCAATGTCATGAGAAAAAAGGTAATTGGATGAGATGCTATCTCATAATACTTGATGTATAGATGTTGAGTCACTTATATAGCGAGAAGTTGCACTATAGAAAAAGGATGACAAATGTAGTAATCCACTTAATTCATTAAACATCTACAAAAATTCAATGAAATAAATTAGAAGAGTGGAAGATGGCCTTTTCACAGTTGGCAGAAGATTCCTCCTTGTCGAAGTTAGATTAGTGGGAAGATAAAAATGTCATCTATTGTTACAGGGAGTTTTCTAATGTGCCACTTATAGGACCTAGAGGGTGTATTAACTATAATCCCTCAATAGTATTAAGGTAGCTGACATTTTGGCAAAGCGCTCCCTCTAAGAAAGAAGTACAAGCCATACACCTTCTCAATGAAAAGGATGACACAAAAAGCTTGGGTTAAGGTGATGTGCAAGGGAAAAACTGAGCTTAGGAAACAAGAAATATGTGTGACCCAAGACTATAAAGCTTTGCTTTGGAAAAGAATTGATGATGCTAATCTTGTTTACACCCATCAAGATCTACTGTTGGGCAATGATGCCTAAGTGGTAAGTAGAGAGTTGGCAAAACACTTAGAAGCAAAAGAGAGAGAAAGTTAGAAGAGCTTGCTAAGGTCAACTTGAAAAACAAAGAGAAGCTGAGCCAATTGGAGAATGAGTACACTATTCTTCAAGAAAAATTAGCCTAAAAGACAAAGAGATGAGATCTAAAGGAATGCTCAAGAGTCACAAAGCTAGAAAAGCAAATAAGAGCCTGAGAAAGGCCAAAAGGGAAAATGAGAAGCAGATGAAGAATAACATAATTCAACTAATGATTATAGCCAAGAAAAAAGAGTAACTCAAAATAGAATTACAGGACAATGGCCTAGTTAGGACATTACAAGAAGTCGATAGTCTCATTTATCTCTTAGAAACAAAGATAAATGAATTAATCACTGTAAGGGGTAGTATTACTGAACGATTCAAAACCTCATAAATATGTTGAATTAGGAAAGAGGTTTCGGCAAAGAGGGAGATCCTTTATCACGAGTAAATGAATATAGTGAAGAGATGTGGAGAGTTGATTAATTTTACCAATGCCAACATCTTAGAACTCATTAGGGTATTCAAGCACATAAAAGGCATGATTAGCTCCTTAAAACCCTATAGTATTTGACTAAGCTAGCTCAAGGGAGAAGGACTTGGATTTCATTAAATTTGAGCTTGAAAATGGATTGTCCATGCAAAATTATGTGAAAATAGCATATGAGATTAATTTTTGAAAGGTTAGAATCAAAGCTCAAAAGTTAAAGTTAAAGTTATGTTTGGAAGTGGCTCATTATTACGGCTCTAATGAATGAATGGCATAATTAGGGCCATTGGACATTATGAAAGTGGAATTGGGAGCTTTGACAATGAAGCTCTAGGTATGGAAAGCAAAGGAAGCAAGAGGAAAGATGTGAAAGATTAAGGGTAGTAAACTTTACCCTACTCTTATATGGTTGGTATTTGCTTGCATGTATGACATGTTTGTTATGTTTATATGACTTTATAAACTCATGCATTGTGTATGTGATAAAATTTGAAGCATGTTATAGGCTTGTGTGGTTTATGATTAATGCATAATAGTTTCCAAACATGTCATTATGTTATGAAAATACTAAGTTTGCAAGTATATTATGAATGCTAAGCTATGCTATGTATGTTTCGGTGGTAGTTGTCTGCTACCAAGATTCTTCCAAATCATATCCTCCCTTAACCAATGATAATAGGTTTTATGAGTGTGAAAGAGGAATGCAAGATGTAGAATCTTGAAAGAAGAAAAGAATTAAAGAAATGTATTATTTAGTGTTATGTAAGGATATTTCCTTTATGTTGATGTATGTTATAAACAATGCCATTGATGTTATGTAACGATGATTGTTGAGAATGGCATGTAAGGTTGAGTATGATAATGTAAGAGATTGTTTATGGAATGTTGGAATGGCTGCATGTGTAATAAATGATGATTATAAGATATTAATTTCAAGTAAAGGGGATAAAGACTCTAAGAATGGACAATGAGTTTGAGATAAGGAAAAAAGGATTCAAACGAATGATTCTACCCTTAAAATTTTATGAGCAACTAGTACACATCCTAAGCTTCAAAATAAGTTATAGATCACCTAAAATAGATATATGTACTAGAAGTTATGATTGCTCAAAGTTAGGACAAAAAAGCTATAAAGTACTATTTTGACATATGAATAGTACATCTTTGCATAATTTTTTGAAATGAATGAGCAAGTAAATGACCTAATAATGTTTTTTCCCGTATAGAAATAAAAGAGATTTAAATTCAGACTTAAATTATCTTAATAAGATTTTTTCTATAATTAGTTATAAATTTTTAATATTGGACCAAAAATATGAAATTACCAAATTAATAGTAATCCGAGAATTAAAATGCAAGATTTTAATGTATGTGCTTAATTCATGATTCACCTAAACTATAATGCTTCTAAATACATACTAAATGGGGTCAAATAATAGATGCTTTAAGAATTATCACTTCATCTCCGTATTTTCATCTTTTAACTTTTTTTTCACCTGTCCTTTTGAACCTATTGTATGAGGAGGAGCTCTTACTATAAGCTATTAATCATCCTTATAGAGATCGTTAAAGAGTGATCTGCACAAACATCTTATTGAAATCTCTTATATGACAAAGTCTAGTGTGATGGCATAAAGGATTAATGTAAAGCTTTGCTATGATAGTACGATGCTCTGGTGTGATGCTTTGAAGCTCTCATTTGCGACTCTAGTGTAATGGTACAATAGTGTGATGGAATTTCGTCCTAACTCCTTTCCTTTGTGTTAGTGCAATGTTTATGTGAAGATATGAGCGTTTTTTCTTTGATGCTTTTTGTTTTGACCCTTTTTTTTCCTTTTTTAAACATCCAAGTCACAGATGATTCAAATCACCTATTTTCCACCTCATCTATCACACTCAACGTCCATGTCAGTGTTTTTAATTAATGGTGTTAGTGCCAGCTAGCTAAGAGCATTTAACAATGTTAAATGTGACACCAAGTCCTTTTAAAAATACAAGGATTGACATTTTAAATGGAGCAAAGTTAAAGGACTAAAACCAAGGGCTTCAAATTTCAAGAACCAAAACCAAAATGAATAGAAACTATAAGGACATTCTATTAACCCAAAGAGAAATTATATGATGAAAAAGGATAATTGTGAAGAGGAACAAATGAAATTAATTAAGTCTTGTAGAAAGCATAATTGTTTTTGTGGAAACAACCACAAACACACAATAATTGAAAATAAAGACATAATTGATGATGTCTCTATCGTTAAAGCACTCAATTAAACTAGGTCCTAATTAATTTGTAGTTTAGGATCGGCTTAGGTCATTACTTCCAAGGAGCAAGTTATGGGTTTCTTTAGATAAAAATTTAGGTGATAAAAAAAATGCAATAAATTGGAACTAAACTAAAATGCAAAATTCTAATTCTAGATGCAAATGTCCTAAAATCTATATGAAAATTAAATTAAACTTAAATGAATGCAATGCAAATTTTGGAGGGATTTTTTTGGGAAAAAAATTAAAATGATAAACGAAGAAAATTGACAAGTAAAAATTGAGAAGTTCTCTTCGATAAGGTAGAGGGGACAACTTAGGATTTGCATGGATTTAACCTTCATAACCTTAATCAGTTAATTAGACCAAAGGGAAGTGATAAAAGAGTGGAATTAATAAATTTAATCACCTATTTGAAACAAAGAGAACCCTCGATTTCAAAAACCCTTAAATTGTTAGAGAACTCATAACAGTATAAGGTTGGTTAATTAAGCTTATTAAAACCAATGAAAATAACTCAGATTAATTCTGAAAAGTATGTTTGAAATTATCCAATTAAACAATCAGACAATTAGCCAACTTAATTAAGCAATTAAGAGGCAAAAGAACCCAAATTTTGCAATTCAAAGTGCATTGATAATTAAACTCATAATGAAAACTCAATTATAAATTCAATTAACAATGCAAAGGTTCTAAACATAAATTCCAACAAGTGTCTCAACACAAATAAAATCCAAATATCAATCCAATCCAAGCATAAAGATGACAATCTACAACTAAACTGTCTCATAAAATTACAACTTAAAATTATCTAAAACTAAATAATTTCAAGTCTTTGAATTAAAAAGATAAATGGAACATCACTCCCTTGTGTTTTTCAAGTGTTAGCCCAAGGCTCAAGTCTCCTCCATGCTCCTCCCAAGTTGCCTCCCTAACAAGCTTAAACTTCCATCAAAACAATCTTCCCTCCAAGCTTAATGACGCGGAGCACGGCCATGTGACGCAGAGTGGATGTTGCTGTGTGACTATGGAATGAAGCAAATATGAGGTGAAGCGTCTGGTGGGTGGTTGTTGTTGGAAGCAAATCAATTGACGTGATAGTTGGCAAGTGCGATTGGTGAGGTCACGGCTATGGAGGAAGGATGGTATGGTGCAATCCGTGAAGGGAGAAAAATATTGATATTAGGCGTGCTAGAGGGATTATTTAAGGGGGAAAAGGAAATTTTCTTGGATCCAAAATTCAAGCCCATTAGTAATTAATTGACCCACTTGATATCAGTCATTTTTTTTTTTGCCAAACTTGATATCAGTCATTTGATTGTGCTTAAATCCCATGAAACAATCTCGCACCATTGGATTTCCTATATGCTCTTTCTTGACCTACAAGAATTTAAGTGCATCCATTAATGTAGATTATATCCAAATATAATCAAAAATTAAATATCAGATATGCACAAAAATTAGGCAAGAAATTGCAAAACTTTCTAAAAATAATCTTTCTAAAAATATGAGACTTGTTTCCAGAGAAATAGAAAAAAATAATTCCAAGTCAAAAATAGGAAATCACAAAATATTTATATTTTTAATCCAAAATCTCAATTTTTATGCAAAATCCAAAAATCAACCACTTAATCTAATAATTCATAAAAATCCAATTAAGCTTAAAATTATCATTTAAATCCTAAATTAATGTGGGATAAAGTATATAAAATTTAAGCTTTATCAATTCCCCCACACTTAGACTTTGCACTCCTGGGCAAAGCAAATAAAGACAAAAGAGCAGTAAGAAAAACAAAAGGAAATCAAAGAAAAGTGAATGTTCCAATCACAAGCAAAAAGCAAATCAAAGCAATCAACATCTTTCTTATCCAAGTAATCTTCTCATGAATCAAGAAAACAAACAGCATGGCAATTTACTTGACAAAAGAGAATCTAAGTCAGAAATCCCTCACCAAGGTTAATGTGTATGTCACTCATTACTCAAAAGTGTATCAGTTTATGTTTGCACTCAAAATCATCCTATCCAATCCTCTTTCCATAGGCTTGACAAGAATCTAAATTCTTCACCAATCATAAAGCAATTACAAGCATAAATCAAAAGGACTTTTATTAGGTTGTAATGGGGCTAAGGTAAAGAAAGAAAGGATATAGTATTTGGGAAAACAAAGACGAACATCTTAGGAAATGAAGAGAATCAATGAAAAAAATATAGTGGAATGCAAGAAACTAAATTAAACTTGAATTGGGTCATCCTTCTTCTTCCCCTATTTTTTTTTTCAAGCACTTTTTTTTAAAACTTTCTTAGGCTGTTATGTATATGCTCTTTTGATGCGAACCTTCATATCGGTGATACAAAGGCCCGGTTACTCAAGCATGGATAACTCCTTGGCACCAAGATGCTATTAGCACGCTCATAGCTTTTCCTAGCCGTTTGACACGAAGATCAACATTGGTGATGAAGATCCCCGGTTACTAAGCACAGCTTAAACTAGAGAAGCGGAATCTTATTACAATATTTTTTTTTTCAAATTGACCCAAACCATAACTCTAAATGTGTTCCTCCATCCCAAGCACATATAATATAACACTCTTTAAGTCCTAAACATTAAAAAAGGGTAAGATTTTTTTTATGGGTTAAGAGGGAAAAAATATGAAGGCTCAAAGGGGTTAAGCAAAGGATAAATGCATAAAAAGGGTGAGCTTTTGGCTTATCTGGCTAGAAAAATTGAAATGAATGCCTTTATCATCTTTATGAATGCAAATGCACAAATGTAGTCTCAAACAAGATTCAAGTCAAGTTCTAGATCAAGGAAAGAGATAGAGATGTACACACATGAAAAGAAGAAATGCATCAGGCTTAAAACCTTACTAGGTACATGATTACTAGCTTAAATTCACCTAAGTCAAATCCATTGCCACTTAGTTTATCCACTCAAGACATGATCAATCACTTTTCAAATCAAGAATGCATCATACTTGAATCACTTCAAACTTGCAATCTTCACATTCAAAATAAAACCAAAAAAAATTTCAGTTTTTTTTAAGAGGACACTAAAACAAAAGTAAAAACATACCCAAAAAGAAAAACTAAAAGAATGAAATCCCTCCCCCACACTTAAACAATGCACTGTCCTCAATGCATAACACGTAGGGCAAATCATAAAAATAAGTGATATCCAACATAGCCTAGCTCAATAATGTGACAATGCAAAGCAAAAAGAGTGAAGGGAAGGAATACAACCGGGGCTACGTGGCGTCTCATAGTGTGATGACCTCCATCTCGGGTAGAGAATCCCTCGTAATAAGGCTTCAAGCGATGACCATTGACTGTGAAGCATCTTCCAGTTGGCTCTCTCTTAATCTCTACAGCTCCATAGGGGAAAACATTAGTGACAATGAAAGGTCCTTATCATCTAGAATGGAGCTTACCAGGCATGAGTTTAAGTCTAGAGACATAAAGTAGAACTTTTTGCCCCAGGTGAAACTCCCTTCTTAAGATGAGCTTATCATGGATAGCCTTGGTCTTTTCCTTGTAGATCCGAGCATTCTCATAGGCTTCTCTCCTAAGCTCTTCAAGTTCTTGCAATTGTAACTTTCTTTCAGCACCAGCACTAGCAAGATCAAGGCTGCAGCTTTTGATAGCCCAGTATGCCTTGTGCTCCACCTCTACTAGCATATGAGAAGCCTTACCAAAGACAATCCGATATGGAGACATGCCAATTGGGCTTTTATATGTTGTATGATATGCCTAGAGTGCATCATCCAGCCTCTTGCTCCAATCCTTTCTGTTAGGTTGCACTGTTTTTTCAAGAATGAGCTTAATTTCTCTGTTCGAGAGTTCTGCTTGACCGTTTGTCTGAGGGTGGTATGAAGTAGCCATCTTATGCATCACACCATACTTGCTAAGTAAGCTCTGCATACTTCGGTTGCAAAAATGAGTACCTTGATCACTAATGATAGCTCTTGGGATTTCGAACCTGCAGAAAATGTGTGACCTGACAAAAGAAACCACTACAGAAGAGTCATTAGTACGAGTAGGGACTGCCTCAACCCACTTAGAGACATAATCCACAACAAGCAAAATGTAAACATAACCAAACGAAGTAGGAAAAGGTCCCATGAAATCAATACCCCAAACGTCAAAAACTTCATAGAACAATAGAGGCTGTTGAGGCATCCCATGCTTCCTAGAAATATTGCCAACAAATTGGCACCTAGAACACTTCTTACAAAACTCGTGGGCATCATGGAATAGAGTGGGCCAAAATAACCCACTTTCTAAAACCTTCCTAACAGTACACTTAGCACTAAAGTGCCCTTCACAAGCAAGAGTGTGACAAAATGTCAATACAGATTCAAATTCACTATTAGGAATGCATCACATAATAACCTGATCATTACAAATGTGCCATAAGTAGGGATCATCCCATATATAGAACCAGCATCACTCTTAAACTTGTTTAATTGATGCTTATTTATATTAGTTGGTAAAACAGATGCAGCCAGATAATTAGCAATGTTAGCATACCACAAAACAGTCATGTCAACACCACAGAGTCTATTATTAGGAAAATCATCTAAGAGTAAAGAAGATGTTACCACAAGAGCCTTAATCCTACTCAAGTGATCAGCCACCATGTTCTCTGCACTGCTCTTATCACGAATCTCCACATCAAACTCCTGTATCAGCATTACCCATCTAATTAAGCGGGGTTTAGAGTCCGGCTTCTTGAATAAGTACTTGATAGCTGAATGATCTGTAAAGACAGTCACTTTTGTGTGGAGGATGTAAGAGCGAAATTTCTCAAGCCCAAACACAATTGTAAAAATTTCTTTCTCTATAGTTGTGTAATTAGCCTGTGTGGCATCTAGAGTCCATGATGCATATGCTATGATATGTTGTCGCTTTTCTATTCTTTGAGCAAGAACTGCACCCAATGCATAATCAGAAGCATCACACAAGAGCTCAAAGGGAAGGCTCCAATTAGGTGGCTGAATGATAGGGGGTGTAGTGAATCGCTTTTTCAACTCATCCTAAGCACACCTGCTAGCATCATCAAAAACAAAGCCCACATCTTTCTGTAGTAAACGAGATAATGGTAATGCAATTTTACTAAAGTCCTGAATGAATTGCCTGTAAAATCCAGCATGTCCAAGAAAAGAGCACACATCTTTCACACAAGAGGGATATGGAAGAGATGAAATAATATCAATTTTGGCTTTGTCAACCTTAATGCCATCATGTGAAAAATGTCCTAAAACAATGCCTTTCTTAACCATAAAATGGCATTTCTCAAAATTTAGCATAAGATTATATTCAATGCATCTTTCCAAAACCCTATCCAAACTAGCTAAGCATGCATCAAAAGAATTACCATAGACAGTAAAATCATCCATAAATACTTCCATACAATGCTCAAGAAAATCAGAAAATATGAAAACCATGCAACACTGAAAAGTACCAGGTGCATTACATAAGCCAAACAGCATGTGTCTATATGCAAAGGTTCCAAATGGACATGTGAATGTGGTCTTATCCTGATCCTCAGGTGCAATAGAAATTTGAAAGTATCCAGAAAAACCATCCAAAAAGCAATAATGGGATCTACCAGCCAGTCTTTCAAGCATTTAATCTATAAAGGGAAGGGGGTAATGATCTTTTCTGGTCACAGAATTCAACTTCCTATAATCAATGCATACTCTCTAGCTATTTTGGACTCTAGTTGGAACAAGCTCACCTTCATCATTACGAATAATACTAATACCAGTCTTTTTTGGAACTACCTGAATTGGACTAACCCATTGGCTATCAGAAATAGGATAGATTATACCTGCAGAAAGTAGTTTAGAAACCTCTTTCTTTACCACATCAAGAATCAATGGGTTGAGTCACCTCTGTGGTTGGCGCACAGCTTTGGTACTATTTTCTAACAAAATCCAGTGCATGCACACATTAGGGCTAATTCTTAGAATATCAGCAAGAGTGCATTCAATAGCTTTCATCCTTCTTTTCAGCACCTCTAGGAGGCGAATTTCTTCATCAACAGCTATGTCGCTAGCTACAATCACTAGCAATGTCTCATCTTTCCCCAAATAGGCATATTTCAGTGAATCAGGAAGTGGCTTTAGCTCTAAAGAGGGAGCTTACTCAGTTGAGGGTATAAGGCGCTTTAGATCAATGTTAGTCAAACTAGAAACCTGCACTGAAGACTCACAAGTAAAAGAGTAGACTTTCCCAACTTGGGAATCATTAGCAGGAACAGTAACAGCAGAAGAATCAGGTAATACGCCACAATTCACAAAAGAAGTGCCATTAGTAACACTCATGTTAGAAGCAACATTGGGGTCAAAATCAGAGATCTCTATATCAGGGACATGATCAATATTAACTAACAGCTCAGAATCAGGTAATGAAGACGAATCAGTTGCATCTATAGCATCAATCACACCAAGTAACTGAGAGAGTCAATGTGAATCAACAGAAGTACGAGATGAATCACTGAAAGTGCTAAGGCTATGGACAGGCATAAAAGAATCAAAACTAGAATGTCTAACAATCTCAATAAAATTAGTGAAAACATCAATATCAGCAGCATCTATACCAGTGCATGTATCACAACTACCAATTTCAGAACATGAACAAGAGATAGAATCATCTAAGCCAACAATATCACATGATCTAGTTATCATACTATCTCTAAAATCCATGATAGCATTATCAGTGATAACATCAATAAAACTAACATCAATCTCACCACAATTATTAGGTGGATGTCTCAGAGAGTCAAGCACATCAAATCTAATGATTTTACCAGCAAATTCCATAGTAAGAGTACCAGCATGCACATCTATCATAGCCTTAGGAGTCTTAAGAAATGGTCTAGCCAAAATCAAAGATGAATGTCCCTTTTGCCTAAAACTAGTATCATCCATATCCAGAACATAAAAGTCTGCAGGAAATATGAGATCTTTTAGCTTAACCAAGACATCCTCCAAGACTCCTTCTGGAATTACACAGCGTCTGTCAGCAAGAGAAGCAATTAGATTTGTAGGCTTAAGATCCACACCTTGAAGCTGAGCAAAAACTGATTTTGGCATGACATTGATAGCCGCTCCTAGATCTACTAAAGCATCTGAAAACTCAATATTGCCAATAGTGCAAGGTATGAAAAAGCTGCCAGGATCCTTGCACTTCACTGGCATTGGCATTTGATAAAGAGAGGAGACAACTGCCCCTAAGTCAACTTTGCCATCATGCTTAAGCCTTCTCTTCGTGGTACACAACTCCTTCAATAACTTTGCATACTTGGGTACTTGTGCAACTAGATCAACCAATGGAACATTGATCACCACCTTTTTGAAGATATCATAAACCTCTTTGAACATCTCAGCTTCTTTCTTTTTCCTTTCAGCCCTAATCACCCCTGTAGGAAAAGATAAGACTTGCTCGCTCACTTTCTTTCGTTCCCCATCTTTTTCTTGCTCTTCTTGCAATTCCACACGTGGTTTTGATAAAGTAGACTTATTGTGCGATGTGGAAGCAGGGGGAGAATCTTTAATGATAGCTTCCTCATCCGTTGAAGCATAGGCAGTGACAGGATCTGTGGAGGTAATTGAATTTTCGCTTCTGAGAGATATAGCATTAAATCCACTAATGTTAGGATTCTGCTAGGTGCCAATATTAGGGTTAACTACTACCTGAGATGGTAGCTTCCCTAAGCCTTGACTTTGCATGTTACTAAGTGCATTAGATAACTGCCCAATATGAGTTTAAAGATTCTGAATTTCTTGGCTATGTTGCCAATCTTTTTGTTCAAACTTATCCATTAGGAGTTTAATCATGCCTTCTAACTTTAAACTCTCATCTTGATTAGGCATAGTTTGCCTAACTTGTTCGAATATTTTACTACCAGAAGAGTTTATGCCTTGATTGAACTGTGATTGTTGAGGCTGGCCACTCCCATATCTAAGATTTGGATGGTCATGCCATCCAGGGTTGTATGTATTTGAGTAAGGATCATATTTCTGGCCACCTTGAATCATAGGCTTAGTATGGTATATTGCATTACACGAGTCAACTCCATCATTTATGTAAGGGTAAGAGTCAGTGGTGTGAATAGCTAGAGAGAAAATAGAGCAAAGTGGCCCAATTAGAACTGTAGAGTTAGCTTGTGGGATAAAAGCGGAGGAAGATCCCGAAGAAGGAGCCATATTTTGGGAGTTTTTTTATCTAAAATACCACCATTTTCTCCATAGCAGATGCTAACTTATCAATTTTGCTCTCAAGGCAAGACTCAGAATAAGATGAATGCATTCCGACTTCATTTACTCTAGCTTACTACCTAGTACCAAACTGTTAGGTATTTTCATCTTTCTTTTCAATCAATCTCCAAGCAGCTTCAACAGTCAAGTCAAGAATAGTATCTCCAGCAGTAGAATCTAGTAAATCTCTCTCAAGAGGCAAGAACCCTTCATGAAAATATTGAATCAGCAATGTATCTGAAATTTGGTGGTAAGGACAACTGGATAACAATGCCTTAAAGCACTCATAATACTCATATAAGGATTCCTCAGACATTTGTCGGTAGCCACAAATATCCTTCCTGATGGAGGAAATACGCGATGCTGGGAAATACTTTTCTAAAAACAACTTTTTCAGCTGGTCCCATGAAGTAATGAATCTAAGAGGTAATTGAAGAAGCCAATTCTTTGTAG